ACTGCTTTTGTGCTCCAGGCTCACAAATATAAAAAACACTGATATTGTGAGAAATGAACAATATAAATATGTGACATATTTCCTACTCACTATAGTACTGTACTGTTAGATGTATTATTTATTTAAATCAAATGTGTCTATTTTAATCAAAAATGTATTTATTATTTATTTGAATCAAACATGATTTATTTAAATCATTTTAATCACATTTTATTTATTTTTAAAAAATTAACAATTTATCTGAATAATTTCCTGTTAATTTTTATAGATATTTATTACTTACTTATTTAAATTAAATTCTATTTATTCATTTTTATCAAAATGTATTTATTATTTATTTAAATAAATGTTATTTATTGTAATAATTTTTATTTATTTTAATCACATTTTATTTATTAAATACAATTTGATTTTATTATCTTTTATTACATTATTTATTTCAATCAAAGTTTATGTATTTTACTAAATTTTTTTATTTTAACAAATTTATTTAGTTATTAATCTTATTATTTTTATGCTTTTCTACAGAACCCCTAGCAGTTTTTGTGGACCCCATTTAAAAAAGAAACCCCTGGCATAATGCATACTATTCTTTAAAAATATATAAACTCCATTATGCAATGCAAAACATTTCAAACTAAACACTGTCATGACCCCGTTACACAGAAACGGTCCACCTTGGAAATAAATGTTTATAATATGTTATATTACTTTTGTGTTAAAACATCTTTATATGAACTATATTTATTAAATGATCTCGCAGTCTGATCAAATAATAAGATGTGAAGGGATGTTAAAAATACAGCAAATGCATGTTCTGCTCAGACTCACCATGAAGCCTGTAAACCCCAAGATACAGCAACAAACTGCACACACAGGTACAGCAGGAACCACTTGTGATTCCTCTCACCAACACAGTTGTCTATCCAGGGACAGTGATGGTCAAAACGCCTCACACAGCGCTTACACGTTTTACAGTGCCTGGCCCTCATCGGTTGCTGGTTCACACAGAAAGAGAAACAAGAATAAGCAGATTTCACTGGACGCTGAGCAAAAGCAGCGTTTAGGTTGATGAAGTACCAGTTTAAAGCAGTAGCCGCAGCGTCGCTGCTTTAAAGAACTGTGATCTTGAGGAATCATCTTTTCCAGTTCTTCATTACTGTCCACTGACGTTCCCTGAAAGAGTCCAAACATCCGCCTATATTAGATGAGCTATTATACATATCTTATACAGACGTTGCTTTCATAACTACCCTTGTGTCGCTGTCGGACAGAACAAAGCCAGGATCCATCAGAGACACAGTGAAGTACAGCAGAACAGAGAGCAGAACCACGGAGCTGAACACCACCGGCTGGACCAGAGCTCCTCTCTCCTGACACTTACGCAGATCTGCACCAAAACAGGATTTTGAACATTTCTTTTTAATATGTAATATAGAAAAA